GGTATGAGCTCACCTGGAAGTTGCATGAGCTTGACTGCAGGAAGGACTGGAGAAACAGCCACTGAAGCTGGATGTTTCCTCTTAGCCTTAGCTGGGCTCGAGGGAGGTCTCGACGCGGCAGCGACTGTCAACCTCGAACCAGAGGAGATCCTCTTTGATCTCATGGGACAGCGCGGTAATGATGCCTCAGACGGCGGCGCTCTTGGAGGGTCCATGGCAAGCGGGTCTAAGGACTTTGACCAAAGGAAGGCTGTGAGCCTATCCTGCCTGTGTTTGAGAGCCAGCTTCGTAAAGGCTTTACAATAGGCACAAGAAGCCGGGTTGTGCCCTCCCCAAACAAAAGAGGCAGCTGGAATGGCTGTCTTTCGTTGAAAACTTTGCGTTGCAATCAACGCACCGTTTGAAAGGAGGCTCCTTTTCCATTAACAGTACCTTGTATCAGAGGAATCAGTACAAGCCAAAATATCAAAACCGGGAGGTCAGTCCAAGGAAAAACTTTTACTTTCTTTTTCAGGAACAAAGGGAGAAGTGCCAACTGTGCTGCACACAGCGGTGGCAGGAAACGGAACTGGCGTGCTCTGTGCTGGGGTGGTGATGTAATCTCCGTGGGAGGTCCCCCGGCACAGAGCTCTTAAAGCTATAGAAGCCTCCAACTTTTCCTGCTCAGCCGCAGAATACCCATGAGTGTGATTCACAGAGAATGTGAAGGAGAACAGACACATTTCTTAGAACATATTGTGAGGAAAGCGCTATGTTTAATATTGCAAAAATTTCAAGTGCAAACTTATAAGAACAAAAGTGTTAAGCCAGGAGGTAGCTCTATTCACGTATAAAGACTTGTTAACTAGAGATCAAACTCCGAAAAATAAACAAGATTTAGAGAGATACGGTCTATCAACAGATTGGTAGTCAATGGACACATTTCTTAGAACATATTGTGAGGAAAGCGCTATGTTTAATATTGCAAAAATTTCAAGTGCAAACTTATAAGAACAAAAGTGTTAAGCCAGGAGGTAGCTCTATTCACGTATAAAGACTTGTTAACTAGAGATCAAACTCCGAAAAATAAACAAGATTTAGAGAGATACGGTCTATCAACAGATTGGTAGTCAATGCTGAAATTAGAATCAAGATATAAAAAGGAAAGTTCAGATGGATGAACCATGGCTCTAAACAAAAGACAAAACCATAAAAACTATACATATTTAATAGAGTATGACCTAGAAGATGACAGGGTGAAGGTGGTTATGGTCAAATGGGTACAAAACTTTGCTTATAATATTGATATTGATGACTGAACAAAAATGTGTAAAGATAATGATAAGTTGATTAAACCAGTTAATTTTAGAGAAAACATCCCTAAAATGGCAAAAAGATTGGCAAAAAGGTCAGAAGGGATCAGCAATGCTTGGTGGAAATGTAAAAAAAATCCAGGGACTTATCATGTATGCTGGTCATGTGAAAAACCAAAAAAAATGGTTACAGGTTTGGGAAATGTCACAAGTAATTGTCCAGCAAAAACTAAGTTTTAAACCTGAAATGTTATTGAATATAATGCCACAGATCATTGATAAAAAAATAAAATATAGTCTACTGTATATATACACAACAGTCAGGTTACTCTGGGCCCAAAAATGGAAGAATAGAGAAATACCAATGATACAAGTAGCTATTAAAGAAGCTACTGGATATTGCAGAACTAGATATGCTTTCAGAGGCAATATGGGATCAGCTGAGACACTTTGTAAAGGAAAGCTGGAAGCTGATGTACAATTGGGTCCAGAAACAGACAGGAACTCAGGGGAAGAAATGATCATGGCGAACCAGTACTTACAAGAGCCCTTTGATGATGTTAGATGACTTAGACTATGGCAAAATCTCTGATCTATATATATAGTATGGATGTTTACTTTTTGTTATCTTTCGTTGTTTTTGTTACTTTGCTGTTTTGTATAAGTAATAAAATAGTTTAAAAAATAAACACAATATGAAAGAAATACATGCTGAAACAAGATTGTGTAAGTTGCATAAGGAACCTAATGAAGTGATGTGTGAAGAACTGTTTCCAGTCTGTCCCCCTCCCCCCCCAAATGTGCCAGGGCTGCCAGAGGGCCATATCTAGATGGGATGGTTTGTTTGTTTGTTTGTTTATTTATTTATTTAACTTATATGTCACCCACACTACCCAAAGGTCTCTTGTTACCATCATCCTAGGGTAGAGTCTGTCCATATATATGTATTGCTGTTGGTATGGTTTGGTTTGAACCAAATTACTACATCCACACGTTTCTACCTAGATCAATACATCCTGTCCCTTTAAGAGTTGTCGAACACCTTTCTGGCATGTATTCTTTTTGGTATGATTCCCCAAGATTCTAATTATCTCATAGTGTAGCCTGTGTGGACAGTTAGCTCATACACAAATGGAGCTGTGGGTGGCAATATCTGAGGTGACAACCCTGTGAGGTAATAGGTGAACTGTGAATAGGTGAACCCTCCTCCATTTTCATCTTCTTTTTAAAAATATTTCCCAGAAGAATTAAAGACTCCTCAGCCTTGTCCGGAGGCCACCAATGGGTTCCTCACAATAAAAGAGTTCTCAAGAAAACCTTGAGGATCTTTGGGGTAGTGGAAAGGGCCATTTTTATTTTCTAGAATATCACCATGGCCGATGTTATCAGCCTTATGTTTGCACAAGTAGTGACGCTGGATTTCAGCCACTGTTGGATAAATGCTGGGGAGGTAACTCACAACATGCAGATATAGAACACCTGTATTGTGGTCCTCTTTGAAAATATAATCTTTTGGCATGCTGTGATTGAGTTTATTAGACAGTAATATACCATTGTAACTAATATCCTAAGATAACCAGGCTCACATAAAAATCCAGGGCCTGTCCTTTGGTCTACCTGCCACTATTTATTGGATTCTGGCCTGACTCTTGGAATAGAAAGAGCTTGGCTTGGCAGTTTGTTGCCTTAATGCAGTGATTCTCAACCTTGGGTAACCCAGCTGTTCTTGGACAGCAATGCTGAGAAGCCCCGAAGCCCCAGCCAGACTCAGAAGCTGTGCTAGCCAGAGTTTCTGGGAGCTGCAGTTGAAGAACACCTGGGTTATTCAAGGTTGAGAATCACTGCCTTAGAATCTATGGATGCCCTGTAAGCCCTGGGATTCTTCTAAGCCACACTGGGGGCCGGGCTGGAGGCTGCTTATTTCCTGGCTAAACAATAAATGCACCAAAAAGAATGCATGCCCTTCTACTGAGCCAGAAAGGTGGGTGAAAGCACTTAAAGGGGAAGAATGGATCATTCTAAGTAGAAACACTTGCGGACAAGGTTTTTTAAAAAATAATTTAAACCGTGCCATCAGTGATCCATATACCATATCTATATGCAAGTGTAGACAGGCCTTGAGTTGGATAGGCAGGGATGATCGAAGTATAAACTGCTGGGTTGATTTTAGACTATGGATGCCTCTTCGCTTACAGTTTTCTTTTACATGCATATGGAAACAAATAAGAACTAAAATCAATACAATTGTTGAGCAAACACCACAAAGTCTTTACTTAAACTTCTTTCTAAAAGCCTGTTATATTTAACAGAATTCATAGAAAAAGCATGTCTAATCTTAAAACTTTGAAATATTTTTAGTTTTAGTATATTTTCCAGTTATTGTACAGTTCTGAATTACTCAAGCAGAAAAGCAGAAAAATCTATTATGACAAAACATATGATAATTAAATTATGAGTCAGAAAGTCATTCAAACAATAATTATACCTACTTACCTGGGAGGAAACCCTACACAACATAAATAAAACTTATAATAGGTAATGGAACATGTGAGAATGTCACTTACCAGTATTTTAATTGTTATGCAGGTGTGAACTACATAAAACAGTTCTTTCAGCAAACAGGACTGAAGCAAAGATATAAGCAGGTCATTCAGCACTTGCGAATTGAAGTGTAAGCTGAGAATTCCTTCTTTGTAGAAATTTGTAAATATCTGGACTACAGAAAATGAGAAAAGTGTAATGTTATTAAAACTTCAATTAACACAATTTTCATTGTAAAAAGGCAAACATGTCAAAAGTGAAATGGCAGGGAATCTCTAAATTTTAGAGCAGTATTTTTCTCTAAGCAATTTTAAAATGGATTATATCTTATAAATAAGCATTATTTCATGATGAAAATAATCCTCTTTTAAATCGCATCAACTATTCTAGATAAGTTATGGATCTGAAAAGATTCACATCCCTAGCAGAACTAATTAAGAATTAAACAAGCATTTCCATGTCAATTTCTTTAATATTAATTAATTCATATATTCACTTAATATGGGTCATCAATTTTAGAGCAGTACTGTATTTTTCTATATGAGATAATATTCTTCCTTGATGTATAAGAAGTCCAATAGCTCCCTACTGTAGGCTCAATGTTAAGAAAATGCAATTTCTCTACCAATGAAAGCTCTATCTTGAAGAGTGTTAAAGAACTGTTATATAGTATAGCAACAGTTTTTACAAAGGCCTTTAATCTCATAAATGCACTAAAGCTGTCTTTCCAGCATTAAAAGACTAGTAAGAATAGCTTATGTGGCAAAAGAATTTAAGATTTTATACCATCAAAAAACCCAGGTCATATTGAAAGCCCAGTTCTGACTACAATTTTCTGATGTAGAACAGATGCTGTCAGGCAAGAGTACAGGTTTCAGTCTCTGTTTGGGATCTACATATTAGTCTTGACAACCACAGAGATACCCACCTTTTTGCCAGAAGCCTGAAAATTCACCTAGCAAATCCCCATGGCCTCTTACAGTATTTAGTAACTACTGTATTGAGAAAGATGTTCAGAGACAAAGCATTGTTAACAGCCAGATTTCTACTAAATATAGTACATTTGTACAGTAGCACACTAATCCCTAGATTAGTGGGAAGTGTTATACTGCCTTATATTTACTGCCTAAAAATTAGTATGCCGATCTTCAAGTCCAATATATTGATCTGTCTTATAATATAGAATACATTCTGTCATACCTGCACGCTTCAGCAGACCTGCTTCACCAATACTTATATATTTCTCAAGTATTTCACTGAAGAACTGGAAAATAAAATACGTATCTGTTACCAGTTTGTAAACACAAGACAGCACAAGAAGTTAGAATGCAAATAATTTCTTTTTAAAACATACACCAATCTAAGTATAGTAAAAGCCCATTGTTTTTCAGCCTGAAACTCCTCATTTTCTGCAGAACTATTCCATTTATGCCTTAAAAGGCTAGAATGCAAAGCACACTTGTATGAAATTAAATTTCAATGAATTAACTATGAATTTCTCCCAAGAAAATATATTTAGGATTACGGTGAGAATCTATGGCAGAATTTGTCAGTCATAAGAATAGCTTAAGTAGCAATATTAAATCAAATATTGGGAAACCTACATAATTTAGCAATTATGCTAAATATCAAACCATACAGCTTTAATTAGAAAGAATGGTTATATTAGAATTAAGATTGATGAACAGAGTATAAAAAAGTAAGTAACAACTTCATCATAGTGCACTAAATTGTTTACTATGCTTATTACACCTGTAAACAGGAATCTGCATACTATGGGTTGACTCAGCAGCTGAAGCCATTGTTTGTGGCTGCCTAATATTCCTCCATTCCCAGAGTCTTCTGGGATATATATGAAATGGATAATTTTTCGCCCTTGTGCTGGGCTTTTACAGACTATGCAAAGAGCACCTTGCTACCATACATCTTGGAAAATGTAGCACCATCCCTTTCCTCCACCTAGTTTTTTGCTGAAAAAAGATTATCTTCCCCACCCACCCCCACATTCTGTGGAGAAACAAGATGAGCTTTTGGAAAGGACACTGGTAACTTTCTGTCACTATCTCTCGTAGAGACCCAAAACAACAGAGCCAGACTCCTTTCTTCTGTGGAATGCCTGTGGCGGGAAGGAGAGGTGGATTCTCTTCCTTCCCACTGAATTTTCTCATGAAATAGCAATGAAGTGCTGCCAACACATACAAAAATCCAAGTGAAACCACCTCACTTCTGTGAAATATGAGAAAGTACTAGAGATACACTTTCTCTTGTTCAAATTATCTTTGAAAGAAAGTGCCAGCAATAATTAATGACTACTGTAATTGTTGTCACTTTCTGTAAAATCCACCACAACATATGAAAGAAACCAATACTGTAATGGCAATATGCGTGCTGTGGAAGTTCCACTCTGCTGTGGAATATACACAATAGGTTGTTGTTCCCCTCCACAGGGCAAGATAGGGATCACAATACAGTATAATAATTTGACTTAGTTCTTTCCTCTTGCTTCCCTTCCTCTTCATGACCAAGAAAAGGTACTAAGAAGAACAGCAAAGGAAGTACAGTGGTGCCTCGTATAATGAGTGCACCGTTGAACGATGAATCTGCATTGCGATGCGGATTTCCCCATCGCTAATGCGAGGGTATGCTCGCATTACGATGGAGGAACAGCTGTTCAGCGGTTCCAAAATGGCCGCTGGAACACAAAAAATGGGTGCCGGTACACCCAAGATGGCCGCCGGGACGCTCAAAATGGCTGCCGGTACACCCAAGATGGCTGCCGGAACAAGGGAAAACATCGGAGAACGGTGAGTTTTGGGCCCATTTGGAATGCATTAAACTTTGTGTAATGAGTTCCAATGGGTTTTTTGGATCCGTTTTACGATGTTTTCCCATAGCGAAGGTTAATCCGGAATGGATTAACCTCGCTATGCGGGGCACCACTGTACTAGAGAAGGACAAGATCTTCATGCCCATCCAGGATACAACAGGGCTAGAAATATGTTGTTTTTGATTGTACATGACTTGCTCCCCAGATTTGATACAAAGGAAGCAGCAGTTTGGTTGCTTCCTTTACACCAAACCAGAAGAGCCATCATGGTTCCTTGTTTGGTGTGAAGATATGTCTACAAAGGGACATGCATAAAACATTTTTTTCTTAAGGTGGGATGACTAACAATGCATTTGTTAAAGTACAGTGGTGCCTTGCATTACGAGCGCTCCGTTTTACGACGAAATCGCTTGATGTTGAAGGTTTTGCGATCGCAAAATGTTTCCCATGGGGGAATTTCGCTTTGCGATGATTGGTTCCCTGCTTCAGGAACCGATTCTCGCAAAGCGATGATTTTCGGCCAGCTGATCGGCAGTTTCAAAATGGCAGCCGGGTAAAAAACATGGCTCCCCTCTCTTTTCTGGGATGGATTCCTCGCTGCACAGGCAGTGAAAATGGCCGCGCTATGGAGGATCTTCGCTGGACAGTGAGTTTCAAGCCCACAGGAAAGCATTAATCGGCTTTTTAATTTCGCATTACGACGTTTTAGTTCTACAGCAATTTTGCTGGAATAAATTAACGTCGTAATGCGAGGCACCACTGTACAGTCTTTCTGCAAGCAGCTTCTGCAAAAATGTACATATCCAGTTTACAGCACCTGACAAAGGGTTTTAGGAGTCCTGAATAGGAACCCACTTAACTCATCTGAAAATGTTTCTCTGCCTCTGCAAGTTCTTCAGCTATCATCTTATACCAATCCAGGACCAGTGAGGGAGATGACACACTAAATCTAAGCAGCGTGCATTGCACTGTGATTGCATGCATCAGAACAACTGGCACACCTTATAATCACAGGTCAGCCTTTTTAAAACAGTAACACAGATGCAACAAAGCAGATGCCACAAAGATGGTGCTATCTGCAATCAGTTACTGGAGTAGATTCATGTTTCCTTGTGGGTGAATGGTATCTACTAATTTGTGGGTGGCTTCTTTTAACCAGCTGCTTCCTTATGCATGCTGTGGTACAGACTGTTGTCATGTTGATTGTAAGTTCCACTTGAGGAGTCAGAAAGGAGCAAGAAGGTGTAAAATCTGTCAGATGTACCTGGAACATTTTTACAAATTGGCATGATATACTGACTGTAAATGTCCTTATAATACGATCAGTATAGAAAAATGTGGTCAACAGTTTCCACCATGCCAGATTGACAGGGGCAAAGAAGTTGCTTGTAGGGGACATGTGAGTATCTTCTTTCTGATGGTGCTGAAGAAAGTACGTTACAGCAGGCCAGGGTGAAAGCTCTGCAATATTAAATGATTTCTGGATAGTGAAGATAATCTGCTGAAAGGAAGATTTTAATGTGGTTCTTGGTTGTAGGATAGCACAAAACATGGGCTAGCACAGTCAGTATAGTGATAATGGTCAAGGGTAAACTATTTTGCACTGAAGTCTGAGTGGAGATACAGATCTTCTTGGAACATACATCAGTACTGAAGAGGTTGATACAAATAGCAAGTAAGTCTATAGTGAAAAAGACAGTCCTGAAGTGAAAAAGACAGTCCCGATAAAGACAATATCTCTAGCATGGAACAAAATTTCACAGATTTTTGTTGTTGTTCATAAATGGAGTTTGATCTTATATAAATATCGGGGTCACTTTAATGCAACTTGATTTGGTGGCTATAAAGATTTTTCCCAGGGAAATAGCTGAATGTCAGACTATTGGTTATGGAGACACTGTTTTATGAAACCACAGCTAATGAGTGGAAAGGTGTACTTCTCCAGACAGATGACCATCAGTTTGAGCAAGTTTACTTTCAAAAGTCACACATTTTTGAACATGTTTGATGCCATCCACTGAACCCACAATTCACACAAAGATGAGAGATGAAAAATGATGTGATAAAGACAAATCAAGACAACAGCAGTCATCTTAAAAGAATATATATTTAAAAAAGAATTAATACTGTTAATAAGTCTACCCAGAGAAAGTTCAGAAATATTGAAGAGAAAAAATGTATTTTGATCTCCCTTTTGTGTGGGAAAGAAATTAGAAGAGGTGCTAGGCTTGGCTGCTAATCTTAGCAGCAGTGAGGCAGGATTCATGCCAAAAATCTAATCAATGCTGCAGCATTCCAAAGAAGTGCTGTGCTACTACAAGACCCATATATGAGTAATTCATGGAGAACATGGAGAAGAAAAATACAGTCATTGCTCTGTTCTAGAGGCCAGTAAAAGCAGGAGAAAGAAACTAAATATTGTCCAAAACTACAGGTAGTACAATCTATAACCCACCATATCATTGAACTGAGCAGCAGATATGTTGTGTAATAAGAAAGTGTATTTATTTCAGGAACTAAGCCGCTTACTCAGAAGATATGTTATCTATATAGATTTACAATCCTAGCCAGTTAGGTTAGTGCTTACAGAAAAAATACTGCTGTTTGCTGGGTAGAAAAAAATCACATGGGCGGAACACTGGCCTTAAACAGCTGGAAACCTCAGGAAACTGTAACTATATTTACCAGAAAAACTCCACCACTACTATCTATGTATTACAAAAAAATGTGTTGAGAGTGTAATACTTGAAATTGTATTTTTTACAATCTCTTCCAAGTATTCCTATAACATTCCAAGCAGAGTTTATGCATAGCCTGAGTACCTGTACAGCCAAAAAAGTCACCCGTACTTAGTTATGATTCCCAACTGAAAACATATACATGGTTTATGAAACCATCTGTGAAGCATATTGATACGATGAGGGTTCATAAGGCTGGGTGGGTGACACATGCATGTTCATCACTGATTTATCTGCACTTGACTGTCAATAGCTTATTCACTACACTTTATTTTAGGTGGTGTGAAAATCATCTGTGATGTTTAAGAAGCTGCACTGATATATTCAAGTCATCATTGGATTTTGAAGGTAATAATGAACATACATGTGTGAATCACACAGGGTACTCTCAGAACACTCAGGCTAAAGGAAATGTTATCCTTAAAATCTGATAAATTCTCAAATCACTCCATTTAATTACAATCTTACCTTGGAGACTAACAAAGCCCTTGCTTTACAGGCCACTAAAAGTAATATGCTATCAATATAGTTCCAGATACACAAACACAAAGTCTTTACCTTTTCATTTTCCGGTTTAGGAACATGCCAGTACCAACATTTAGTTCTTCCACAACCTTTTAATGTATTGAAATATGATCTGCAGTATCCATTAGGTACAGAAATTAATCCTACATTAGTCTGAAAAACAATCCAAGAGTAATCAACCATGATGGCTGTGAAACACTAATTTCTCCATACAGTACTTTAAATTTCTCTAATACAGTGATTCCCACTTGGATAACTGAGGTATTCTTCAACTGCAGCTCGTAGAAAACCCTGGCCAGCACAACTGGTGGTAAAGACTTCTGAGAATTGCAGTCCAACACCACCTTGGTTATCCAAGGTTGGGAACCACTGCTCTAGTACATACATGTGGGATTAACATACTTTAACAGATAAAAGAATGCACAATGTTGTGATAAATTCCAATTCTACAGTGGATGAAACTTTCTGAATGCAACATACCAAAAATAAAAATCTTTAGAAGAAACTCACTTCCAATAGAAGAATTCACCAGCTCATAATGAATTAAAGATACATGCACTCAGAAATCAAAAGGCAAGAAAAAAACTCTCCCTAGGACTCAACTATTTTAAATCAACTCTTAAGAACTAAAAAGCTTCCTTCTGTGGGACACAGATGTGACCACTGGTAAGCCAGGTGGACAAGATAAGTTCCATTCTTTGTAAGGAAAAGAACTTACAGCAGAAGTCTACTGTTTTATTTTCTTTCTGTGGAGGATGGTAGCTTTGTAGAGAATGTTCACAGGTGGTACCTGTGCCAAGAGTAATAACCAGATGAAGTACAGTGGTGCCCCACATAGCAACGATAATCCGTGCAGCAAAAATCGTCGCTATATGGATTCGTCGCTACGCGAAATTAAAGAGCCCATAGGAATGCATTGAAACCCCTTCAATGTGTTCCTATGGGCTTAAAACTTACCTTTTAAGCGAAAATCCGTGAAAAATATGGTGACCATTTTAGCTGCCCGGTAAGAGAGGAATCTGTCCCTGTTTTACCCGGCGGCCATGTTGGAACCACCGATCAGCTAGGGAAAAAACATCGTTATGCAAAAATCAATAAGCGAAACAGCTTACTGATCATCGCAAAGCGATTTCCCCCCAAAGGAAACATCGTTATGCAATCACAAAAACGATCGCAAAAACATCGTTGCTATGCGGATTCGTCGTTAAACGGGGCACCCATTATGCGAGGCACCACTGTACTTTCATTCACTGTACTTTGATAGAGGCTAAAATGTTTAACTTTGCAAGGCACCACTGTACTTTCATTCAGAATGAACATTTGATAGAGGCTAAAATGTTTAACTTTGCACTATTTCACCCAGGATGACACAGGACCAAGACTGTGACCCTTAGCCTCTGGCTCTCCAGATATCTGGGGCTAACTCCTAGAAATCTCAGATAGTATGGTCAAAGGCCAGCCATTCTGGGACTTGCAAGTCCAAAATACCTGGAGAACCAATAGTTCAGAACCACTGTATTAAATGAACTATTAGTGCTAAAAAGGAAGTGCATCCAATTTAGATGAAGTCTGAAGGCAGAGCCAAATCAGATCTTCTCAGACCAGTTCCCTGGGTTAAATTCTGTGTGGGCTCTGAGGTTCTGAAAAACATGCAAAAAATTATGAAAAGCATCTTTTATGTTTTGTTTCACTAAAAACACCCAGAATGATGAAAAGAGTGGGACTGTGTGAATAACCCAGTCTACCCTATGGATATTTTACTAGGGCCTTTCCAGTTACAATGTTTTAGAGAAGAGACTGTGAATTCCAATCGTTTTGATTTAAAGGGGTGGGGGTTGTAAGAGTTTTAAGTCAGTCTGGAGGGTGCACTTGGTGGAAGATGACTTTGCCTTTGTACTGACAGGAGGAACAAGAGCTAAAATCTGCACTGGCTATAAGTGTGTCATTGGGCCCAACCCAAGAAGCTAGTAATAGTGTACAAAACCCCTAAACAACTCATGTTTTGACTGCGCCTGCGCTGGTCTTCTCAGAATATTCTAGAGCTTTTGTAGAAAGTTGAGAGTTGCCCCTATAGCGCATGCTCCACCCGCCTCAGCCTTCAGCTCCATTTACCCGCCATAATAGCCTGTGCTTAGCAGAGACATAATTAGTGATGGACAGAGAGGAGGCTGGGTGGGATGTGTGAATTCATAGAGGTCCACTTGAAGAACCATGGTTACAGGTAAGTAACCTCTCTTTCTTCTTCGTGGCCTCTGTGAATGCACATAATAGGTTGACTAGCAAGCTCACTTACTGGAAGGAGGGCTGTCACTCTAGAACTGAAGTCAAAATTGCTCTTCCAAAACTTGCTTCCTTCTTGGCCCAAAGGTCCAGTCTGTAGTGCGTCATAAAGGTGGATGCATTGGGCCACGTAGCCACTCTGCAGATATCTGGAACATCCACACCACGCAACAATGTTGCAGATGTTGCAACAGCTCGGGCCTTCCGTAAGAATCTTGCCATGCAGCTCGTACGCCAGAGCAATAGTGGAGACAAGCTATCTAGAGATAGTTGATGAGGAAACAAGGGAACTCTTATGTGATCCATGAAAACAGAGGAATAGTCTTGGAGAGCCATGGAAGTCCTTAGTTCAGGAAGTGTAATACGCCAAGGCTCTACAGACATCTAGTGAATGGAGTGTGCACTCACTTTCTGAGGAAGGTTGAGGAAACAAAGTCGGCAATCTCAAGGGTTGATTGAGGTGAAAGTCAGTGACAACCTTAGGCAAAAATGAGACATCAGGATACAAAATAATGTTGTCTTTAAAGAACTGAAGATAAGGAGCGTCAGATTGGAGAACTGCCAGTTCACTTGTCCTGCTTGCCGATGTAATAGCTGCAAGGAATAGAGTCTTAAATGACAGTAGGCGAATGTCACAAGAGGCCATAGGCTCAAAGGGATGGCGCATAAGTGTGTGCAACACGAGCTGAAGAGGCCATTGAGGTACAGGAGGTTTGACAGGTGGCTGGATGTTCGAAAGACCTTTCAAAAAGGATTTGAGAGCTGGGTGAGAGAAAAGACGCGCTGTCAGAATCTCGAGGCTGAAAAGAGACAATTGCCGAAATATAAACTTTAAGGGTGGACAAGGCCAGCCCTGCATCAAACAGGTAATGTAAGTACTGTATGTGAGCAGGGTTTAAAGTGAAATGGGTGAAGTTTGCAGCCGTCTTGATTGAGCAAACTTTGTAAAGTTGTTCCATTTATATTTATAAAGGAGGTTAGTGGATGGTTTTCTCGCCTTGTCCAAGACCGCCTGGATTAGGGGATGAGTCTCCATGCTGTCAAATGCAGTGACTGCAAATCTGGATGGAGGATATTGCCTGAGTTCTGAGTGAGTAGATGTGAAATCAGTGGTAACTTGAGAACAACCGAAGCCATTGCTCTGAGAGTGGGAAACCACAGCTGATGAGGCCACCATGGTGTGATGGTATTCGTCCTTAGCTGTCCTGGGAGAGAAAAGGTTAAGAAGACCTGACTGGCTGACGAGGCCACCATGGTGCGATTAAGATGGCATTCGTCCTTAGCTGTCGCGCCCTGACCAAGGTTCTCTGTATGAGCGGTATGGGAGAGAAAAGGTTAAGAAGACCTGACTCTCATGGAATCATGAAGGCATCGCCAAGTGAATTCTCACCTCTTCCCGCACGAGAGGCATACCTCCTGCACTTCCTGTTGGTTTGGGTTGCAAACATATCCATTTGGGGATATCCCCATCATTTGCAAAGCATTAGGAAGATCCCTTTGTCCAGTTCCCATTTGTGGGACTGTACCGTTAGACAGCTCAGTTTGTCTGCCAGCTCGCTGTCATTCGTTGAGACATGAAGAGCCACTGGGAAGACATGATGGTCATAGCACCACTCCCACAGATGTATTGACAGGAACAGGAGAGACATGGAACGTGTCCCTCCCTGTTTGTTGATGTAAAACATGGTTGTGGTTTTGTCTGTGATCACTTGTACACCCTGACCATGTATCAGTGGAAGGAATGCATGGAAAGCCTTTATGACCGCCAACATCTCTAGATGATTGATGTGGAGATGTTTGTCACAATGGTACCAGAGAGCATTATTTTGTGGGGTCCGCAGTGTGCTCCCCAGCCCATGGGGCTGGCATCTCTTGTCACCTAAACCGAGAGCTATAAAAGTCAAAATGGGTGGCCAATCAGAAGAGGTGGTACAAATGTCCACCACCTCAGTAGAATTGCTAATTCTGGGGTGACATGTAGTTGTTTTCATGGGCTGTCTTGAAGGGAGTTGAAGAGAGCCAGGAACCACACCTGAAGGGAGCGCATTTTTAGACGTGCGGGTGTTAATGCAGATGTTGTGGAGGCCATGAGGCCGAGCAAATGCTAATTATGATGAGTCGAGACTCTTGAGTGTGGACGAAACTTGTGAACAGCTCTGCACAGCTTCAGGATGCAGTTTGGTGGGAGAAATATATGTGCTCTGATAGAGTCCAGTCTTGCTCCTATATAGTCAACTACTTGGGATGGAATTAGATGCGACTTCTTTTCATTTACTGTGAGGCTGAGGTTCTCCAGGGTGTGCAGGAAAAATTTGGTACCTTGAATGGCCTTTTGCCTGGATGGAGACACCACCAGCCAGTTGTCTATGTATGGAAACACTTGTATGTCGTGTAGACGGAGAAAAGCTGCTACCGCAGCCATGCACTTTGTGAAACTGCAAGGAATTGTGGACAGTCCGAAGTGAAGGGCACAAAATTGGTAGACGGTGTTTTGAAAAGCGAAGCGGAGATATTTTCTGTGATGTGGATGAACTGAAATGTGGAAATATGCATCCTTTAAATCTATAACTACAAACCAGTCTTTTTGTTTTAGGAGATGGACAATGGATTCTAATGTGACCATTTGAAAACGTCATGGATGCAGGTATGTATTTGGGGTTCTCAACTCCAAAATGGGCCTGATACCGCCATCCTTTTCTGGTACGGCGAAGTAAGGGGAGTAAAAAACGTTGGATATGTCTCAAGGTGGTATTTTTTGAACAGCCTGTTTTTTGAGAAGAGTCAGAATCTCTTCTTCTAGAACAGGGTTGAAGGATGTAAGCTTGACTTGTCCTAGAGAAGGAAATTCTATGAACTCCAGACGGTGCCCGAATTGAATGTTATTTAAGACCCAAGTATCTTTTGTGATATGGGCTCAGTTGTGAAAGAATGGAGCTAAGCGAGTGGTTTGTGAGAGTTCGAATAGCCTTGCGTTTGAGTCAAAGGTACTGCTTTGTTTTCTTAGCAGGTGGATGGTACGATTGATGTCTTTTTGAAGTTGTTTGTGGTCTGAAGGTCAGAGCAGAAGAAGAGGCTTGAGAGGATCTACTCTGTCTCTGTTTGAAAGCATGGCAAGATTGGGAAGATGGTTGTTGGTATTGTTGTTGAGGATGTTATTTGTGCCACTGATATCTGTTGTACTTAGATTGTTGATGAATTGTGTAGGATTTGGCGGTTCTCTTAATTTTGTGTAAATTTTCCAGTGAGTCATCAGTTTTTTCATTGAATAGACATTTGGCATCAAATGGCAGGTGTGCAGTACATGTCTTAACGTCCTCTATAATGCCTGAGGATCTGAACCATGCGTGACGTCTCAGAGCGATGGCAGATGTTAGCGTCTTAGAGGCTACGTCTGCTGAGTGGCGGGAAGCCAGTCGTTGATGTTTTGCAACTGTAAGGACTTCTACACAGGTGCTTAGGAAACCTTGTCTTCTGTCATCTGGAGCTGCTTCGAGGGCTGGAGGAATCTGTGACAAGAGTTGTTGGTACGCCCCCATGGCCGCCTGGTAATTCGCCACTCTGAGTAAAAAGGTGGTGAAAGAATGTATCTTTCGGCCCAACACGTCCAGCTTTTGTCCGTCTCTATTCGTAGGACTGACATGGGCTTTCCCAGAGGATTTAGATGAATTCGAGTGAACAATTATGAAGTTAGGGACATGGTGCTTAAGAAGAAAATTGGTCTCATCACCATGTGTGTAGTAAAGATTTTTAGTTCTGCAAGCCACTGGTGAAGATGTAGAAGGTTGGTTCCAGGACTCCTTAATGAGCTCCATCAAGGCTGGAATAAAGGCTAGGATCAATGGTGGGGATCTCTCCTGACTGATATCGCCAAACACCAAGTATTCTTTGGGGGGTGGAGGCTGTTCAGTTTGGACCTTAAGTGTTTTGGCCATGCAGGAAATCATTTACACATACAAGGAAAAATCCTCTGAAGGTGAGGATGGGCAGCATCCAATTCAAAAGATCCTCCTTCCACAGGGGCGTTGCCTGAAGCTCCAGAAAAAGCCTCTTCATCTTGGTCTGTAGAGGCAGAACACCTCTTCCTGGTCAGAAGGCAAGGGTAAGCGTGTAGATTTCCTTGACTTCTGTTTAATATTGTCACATCCAGATATTTGTTGAGCAGGTAGTAAATGGCCTTTCAATTGTGCAGCCTTCGACATCGACTTGCAAGTTTTGGTCTGTTTAGTAGTATCCTTCGCCATTTCATGGCATTTAGAAACATGGCAAGTGTTGATGTCGAGAACCCGACGACATTGATGTCGATGTGGAGACGGGGAAAAGGAGGATGACATGGAGGCGTAGACATATCGAAGCTTCTTTCCCCTACAGTAATCCTCCGAGCTTGACGACGAGTCAGTGTCCGTCTCGTTATGTCAATGCCGACGGTACAATCGCTTCCAATCGACCTCAATGAAGATAGGATCATCGTATTTAGATTTCTTACGGCGCTGAGATGATCGAGGTAAAACAATAACCTCACGTCGAGAAGAACGGTGCCAATCTGGAGAGAGATGTTTCCTCTTCGCTGTCCTTTTTCAAGATGGATAGTTCAGCCTCGAGGAAGTTGACAGTGATAGAGCCATAGGTGACGCCCGCCTGGTGGAAACAGGGCTATTATGGGGAGAAGCCGGGCTAGAAAGAACAATGTGTTCTAGCTGGCCGCGGCTTGGAGAACGATCGAGCCCAGTAGGTGAAGCCTTTAACTGACGTGGACGAAGACTACTTTAGAGAGAGATTCTCGGTCCAGAGAGGAATCTTCAAGAATCTGCGACGGTAACGACCCCAAAGCAGGAGGAATATGTTTACGATGCTCCTTAGACTTCTCCTTTTTATCTTTCAATGTTGACCTTTTTTATTTATTTATTTATTTATTTATTTATTTATTTATTTATTTATTTATTTATTTATTTATTTATTTATTTATTTATTGGACTTATATACCGCCCCATAGCGCTACAAGCACTCTCCGGGCGTCGTGAGCACAGTTTTAGCTGCAATACAGCGTTTTAACCACTGCGCCACGAGGCTGTATTGTTTCAGAGTCTTTCGACAAAGTGCCAGAAGAGGTCTTCGACGTCGAGGTAAGTGATTTCTTTGCTGTCAACGTGGATGATTTTTTAAATGACTTGTCAACTATCCTCAGCGTCGACAAAGAGGGTGGAGGAGCGGCTGTCACGTCCAGGTGTGTAGTAGCTGAGGGAGTCAATGCCATCTCCATCTTGTTGGGCTTTGATGCTGAGAGGGTTTTGTCCCACAAGAAAAGTTATACACATTGTTGCCAAGCTTTAAAAGCAGCTTTGGTGAATTTCTTGCAGTGTCTACAGGAGTGGGGTTGATGGGTATCCCCTAGACAAAAGAGGCAGCGGCCGTGACCATCTGAGAATGGTAGTTTACGAGAACACGACAGGCACCTACTGAAGGGTCCTGAGGGGAACATAAAGTAGTAGGAAAAAAAGGGGAATAAAGAGACTCACTGTATGAAGGAATAGCCAGTAAGTTTCTCTGATGAGAATTATAAGAACCAAGTCCAAAGGGCGAAGAATCGTAGCCACTAGACAAAAATCCAAAAGTCAAAGTAACAGACAGAATAAGTCTCCAATGAACAAGTTCAATCTGATTAGCATGGGAAAGTGAAACAGTCCGAGTCAGCATGTAAGAGAAATTCACGAAGACGAGAAAATATCCAAAAACAGTCCGAGTCAAGGGGCAATCGAAAGGCAGAAAACGTGATGTGTAGTCCAAGTCAAAAAACCAAAGAAACCTATCAAAAAGAGCTCTAATACTGAGAAGTTCCTAGCACTGCGGCAGTAAAATGGAACTGAAGGCTGAGGCGGGTGGAGCATGCGCTATAGGGGCAACTCTCAACTTTGTTACTTTTCTACAAAAGTTCTAGAATATTCCGAGAAGCCCAGCACAGGCGCAGTCAAACCCCAATTGTGTGCATTCACAGAGGCCATGAAGAACCATTTTGATTTCACTTTCATTCTCTTTTTCTTCCATGTTTCATTCAGTAGTGTAGCTCCTCATTAATATATTTATATTACTATTTTCCAGATTTTTCTCCTAAAATTTGTCCCCTTTATTATTCACTTTAATGTATTGTTTCTGCTTTTAAGCTTCAGGTTACATTTTGTGTTGTGCATGGCAAATGTCACATCCTCCTTAGGACGGGGATATTAAACCTACCTGATTTGCAAATTCCATAATCACACAGGAGATATGCTCAAATTCCATAATCACAGAAGAGATATGCTCAAATGTGATAAGGAATTAAAGCAAGTTCAGAGATTCTTACTGTTTACTATTGCACTAGATTCATGTTCAGTACAGTGGTGCCCCACATAGCGACGTTAATCCATTCCAGGATTAATGTCACTATCCAGAAACATCGCTATGCGGGGGGGGGGGAACCCCATAGGAACGCAATAAACAGCGTTTAATGCGTTCCTATGGGGACAAAACTCACCGTTGAGCGAAGATCCTCCATAGCACCGCCATTTTCGCCGCCTCAGTAAGCGAGGGCAGCGTGCAAAAACGCTGCAGGTGGCCATTTTGTGCACCTGGCGGCCATTTTGGAACCACTGATCAGCTGTTTTCTAAACATCACAATGCGAAGATCGGTAAGCAAAACGCTTACCGATCATCGCAATTCGATGTTTAGCTTATCTAAACATCGCAATGCAGTTTCTCGATCGCAAAATCCGCATCGCTATGTAGATTTGTCGTTAAACGGTGTGCTCGTTATGCAAGGCACCACTGTATTGTCTTTCAAGAGACTACGTTACTCAAGGGACTCTCATCAGGATCTCTGCCTCTCTCTGAAAGGTTGAAGGCAAAAGAAGCATCTTCCCTAGACAATCCTCATGGGACTCAAAACACCTTCTCTTAAACCAGCCCCTTCTGGAACTTGGCCGTATCAGGTTCATCAAAATAAGCAAACACAAACATATCATGTCAACTGGATTTAAGAGTTTTAATCTGTTTAACAAATTGAGCACTTGATAAAGTTTTAAATTCTGAAGCAATGCATTTGAACTTGCTTTCAATAATATATGTAAATCAAAGACTTACCACTCCAGTTTTATCTTTTTTCCAGGCTACATAATTGGTAGGATAAGATGGCAAATGAAGATTGTTCCTTAGTAATCTGCAATCTAATATCAAAGATCAAAATAAGTTGAAATGATTTTTTTATAAATCTATACAACTGTATACTTTACCTCCTATATCTTATTCCAGACATGATCTGACACCTAAAATTTTCATTTCCTTCATACTGACATTTAATTCTCTTCAAGCCTGATGCACAGTAAAAACTTTTGAAAAAAACAAAAGCTGGGTGATGTCATCATCTGGAAACATATTCCTTTAATTTAATTAACAGCTTCTTATCCTCTAATCCTTTATGTTCTGAGACTTCCCTAGGGATCCCTTTTGCCTTTGTGAAACCTTTGGGAGCCTCAGGCTGAATGCTGAGCCTTTAATATTGAAAAATTGCAGCTGGAAGTCCTGCCGCAGGATCAGGACTATCAGCAGCAATCTGGTGGTGAATTTCAAATGTTAAACATTAGAGGTTAGGAAGTATGAAGGAATTTCACATAGACATGACAACTTTGTGTAAGATTTATTTTACAGATAAGAAATGTGTTCCAAAAGAATTAAAGTTTCTCCATTATCTTTCTTTGAATTTAATTAATACTTTAATGACAGCCAGCAGTACTCCTTTATGCATTTACGAAGTTCCAAGGTTCAATTATCTTGTATTTTTAAACAGATCTCTCCATTTCCAGAAGATGAGGTAGTAAGTTGAATGATAATAAGTGTTATGAATGTTCACTTTTAACGGAAATTCTGTAATTTCTTCAATCTGAGAAGAGTGACTGTGGATAATAAAAGCAGTACCTTAATCTGACTTCTAGGCTGTGAGAAATGAGAAGTTCAAAATAGATTGGTTGAAGTCATTATATTCAGATTTACTGTACACTCTAGATCTGTAAATTCCATATTATCTAAAGAGCAGTCCAGATGTAGCTGGTACAACATCTTAGTGTCTTGGGTATGGATCTGTGGAGATAGAGGCTGGGAATGCAATTCCCCACTGTCCCTGCTGGGAGAAGAGCCAGCTTTTGTAGACCTGGGCAAGCCGCACACTCCCAGAGTGTCCCCAAAAGGGAATAGATCAAGACCACCATTGGCAATTTGGTGGTGACTTTCCAATATTAAACATTAGGGGGTATTTCACATAGATATAACAACTTCTGGGTACTCTATATTTAGAAAACCCTGGAAAGGGTTGCCAGAAGTTGGAATCAGCTTGACAGCGTGTAATTATAAGAAGAACATTTAGAAGAAGAAGAACATGAAGCAGCAGCAGCAGTGGAAGAAGTAGTAGTGGTAGTAGTAGTAATGATATTAAAATGTCAGATACCATTTGGTTTTGCACCAGAAAAAGTTACAAATACCTGGGTATCTTGAAAGCATGAGGAAGTTAAAAGTGGGATTAAATAAAGAATATATCAAAAGGGTCAGAAAAGTGCTTAAATCAAAGCTTACTGGTGGAATCACCATTAGAACTATACATATCTGAGTGGTGCCAGTTACGCAATATATTGCAGGCACAATAACTGGATGCAAGCTGAACTGGATATCTTAAACTGAAGAACGAGGAAACTAATGACTATCCATCATGTATTGCTTCCATGTAGAGACTTCAATAAGCTGTATCTTCCATGGAGTGAAGGCTAATGCAAATGCAGCAAGACAAACTATTAGCTAGAGCAAGAAAATTATGACCTTGCAGGATATATCAAGGAAAATCTAGAAAAACCATAAAAAAGTTGATAAAGCAGGATTATTAAAGAAACAAGGGAAGCCTATTGAAAATAAAAGTTAACTATGCACCACGAATGATGACAGAATAAAGCACTCCATGCCCATTACCTTAGAAACATGCAGGGCAAAGCCAACAGTGAAAAAATGTGTTAATGGCTGAGAAAAGAAGGAAACTTAAGGATTTATCCTTACAGTGTAGGAGCAAGCACTCTGTACAAATGCAATTAAAACCTAGATTGAGAAATCTTACAATGATACTAGTTGTTGGTTAAGTTAAAAAGCAGAAGAAATAGTAGGCCACCTTATCTATGAGTACAAGAAGATTATACAAAGAAATTATTTCGAAAGACATAACAAAGTTGCAGCAATGGTGCACTGGAATATCTGTGTGAACTATAATATAACAGGGACCAAAAATGGTGAAACCTTACAATTTAAAAAGTTGTTGAAATGGAGAAGTCCAAATATAAATAAGTACAGACTTGAGTAAGTATGGCAAAAGAAAGCTCCACTATAATTAATACTTTAAGGTTCAATACCAAAGGACTTAGAAAAACATCTTTGTACTCTGGGCATAAATTAGACCATGGTACACCAACTGCAGGAGGCTATCTTACGTGGAACATCATATATTGTAAGGAAATACCTATGAGCATCCTAGGTTCTTGGAAATGACCTCATATTCAGGGAGCTAAAACCAGCCAATGTCTGGTGGGCTGTGGATACAGTGGAAAACACTAATTCAGAATATTAAAATCAATGGCCACTCTCACAGTGGCTGAAAAAGAAGTGAGTTACAGTTCTATTTTACAGGAATGAATAAATGACTCAATATGTTTTCTAACTGGGAAGCCAGAACTTTCTTAACACTTGTACATGGTCATGTGTTTTTTCTACTCTGAACTACAGCCCTTCCTCTGCCATATCAAGCTGCTTCTCAATTCCAAATACACTCCCATGGATACACAGAACCAACTGTGTAGTTCTTTGGCTTCTTATCTATAATAAAAGGATAGTCTTCCGATACTATCTAATTATATTTAATTAAGCATCTATTCAGTAATTTACTTATCCATCTGTTGTAGTTCTCTTGTAATTAGTTTTCCAGAGTATTTTGGTCAGATGACTATTTTTATTAATAAGAGATATTTATTCTAATTTAGCAACTGAACTGAATTCAGAATGGCAAAAATGAACAGAAGATACTGGCACAGCAACACTGTGTTATGTGCTGCCAACTCACACTTGACTTAACAGTAACCTTAATAAGGTCGTTAAGCTGAGTGAGATATTTAAGGAGTCTTTTTCTAAGTCACATACAGTGGGGTCTTGACTTGAGAACTTAATCCGTATTGGAAAGCGGTACTCAAGTCAAAAAGTCTGTAAGTCAAGTCTCCATTGACCTACAGTGCATTGAAAACCGATTAATCCCGTAACAGGCCGTTTTTGTTCCATTTTGGTTTTTTTCTGATCTGTAAGTCAAATCTCAGTCTGCAAGTCAAACCTAAATTTTGTGGCCAGAGAAGTCTGTAACTCAAAAAGCACACACACACACAAGAGCAGATTCAAAGACATGGGCTCACATTCTTCTGTCTTTGAAAGGCTCACATTCTTCTGTCTTTGAAAGCGTTCACTACATGTCTTGATTTGCAGTAAACATTTAATGTCACATCTAAACTGAGAAAGCTATCAATATTCTTAACAAGAACAGGTTGCTCACTTGTAACTATGGTTCTTCAAGTGGTCTTCTGTGTATTCACACAATTGGGGTGCTTTGCATCTGCACAGATGATCCTACGGAATGTTCCAGAGCTTAAGTCTTGTGTCTCTCCTCCATAGCCTATACGCATATGTTCTGCCCGCTCTCCTCAGTCCCACGGCATCCACCGCTTAAATATTAAATTCTACTGGCGGGGTAACAGCTGGGAGGTGGAGGCTTGTGCTTGTGTGAACACATAGAAGACCATGCTACTTCCACTAACAACTATATAAAATTAACACCCTGATTGAATGATTGGCTAATACAGATAATTAGAAGAACAAACAGTAAGAAGGTAAGTATCACATTCCCATGTGGCTCCTGATTGTTTCACCAAACTAACATCCATACTATGGATGTTAATAAAGTATTTTAATATTTTTTTTAAAAACAGGGGGGAAAAACAATTTAAGAACTCACGCTATGTGTCTTTCAGCTGCCACCAGCTGATTATATCAACATTATTATCAACGATAGAGGTCCAGGCCACATGTCATTTTAAAAGAACCAAATCAAAATTGTTTATTGTTACAGATGATGATAGTTCAAGCAATGTTGTTAACTCTTAATAAACATCCTCCTTCATACACTCTGAACCACCACTCTCCCTCACCCAAACTCCAAAACTCCCTGAACTCTCAATCTCCTTCACTAAACTCCTCCTCCTGCTGCTGAGTCTCTTATATCTCGTGACTCCACCCCTCCGGCACTCCCACTGGTATATGCAGACATCACATTAATATTCATGACCTGGGCAAACACCACAGCAAGAAATATAAAAGTACTAAAACAAATGTTGTCATTTAAAGCTCCGGGGTGCGAAAAGGAGCTGAACAACATGGTGGGGAAAAAAGGGACTGAGGGGGATTGGCTAGAACATGTGCTTATAGACTATGGAGAAGAGACACGAGATGTAAGCTCTGGAACATTCCACAGGATCATTTGTGCAGGTGCAAAGCACCCCAACTGTGTGCATACACAGATACCACAATGAAGAACTAGATGTCCACTTGAGATACCAGTTCAAGAATCAGAGGAGTATGATTACCAAGAAAAAATGGAGAAGGAAATCGACAGGCAGAAGGAAATTTGTTTAAAGAACAAATCCTGGCCAAAAAACAAACAAACAAACCTGGCAACAGCTAAATCAGGCTTTTATGCCTGTACAAGTCACAAAAGTAGTACCTTTATAAAAAAAACATATCCAGGTATTAAAAATGAATACAATACCATTTGTCCATGGTTTCACTGCTGTGCTCTGTAATTGTGGACCAGACGTTTTCATAACAGGGGATGGTAATTCCAATTGATGGTTGTGGCTCACGGGTTCAATATGCTGAGCATTCTCACTAAACTCCCAGGGGAAAGATACTCAAATGACTAATGCTGCAAAAATTGTATACTGAATATTGATACATTAATATAAGATGTGCTATATTTTCTCTAATAAGAAAGCACAGGCAGCACCAATATCCAGGTGGTCATATTTTCTATACAGATTAGCATATGACACTGTACTATACAAGCCACTTGTCCCTCTGGTTACCGTCTACTTCAACCAACACTTCTAATGGTTCTCCCATTCCTTTTATTGAAAGTTATGGGATAGTGAATACATACATTCTATCACTGGGTTATGACCAGAGTTTCTACGCTGTTATCAGCAGACCAAGAAATGGAAGATCCAAGATGAATGATCATTAGTACCATGCCTTTCTTCTAATACAGAGACCCAAGGAGGTTGATAAAATAGTTAAAAACATATACCTTATTTCCCTGAAAATAAGACCTAACTTGATAAGCCCTAGGATGATTTTTTTCAGGATGCTCATAATATAAGCCAGGGTCTCAAAAATTCCAATTTTCTCAAATCTCTTTATTTTTAACACAAAATAAGATAAAAAATAAAGAAATTAAGAATTAATAAGAAAAACCATAAATAAATCAGTTAATAATAGTAATAGTAATAGTAATA